ACCAAAATGATATTTATCAAATCTTTAAAATCTACAAGAGCATGTATTTCCTCATAATCATTTTCATGAATTAGAGCGAAAACTTTGCCACATAGATTTTATACATTCCCATCCAATTGAATCCATCAACCTACAATCATAAGATAAGGTTTTGACAAAACAAAATTCAATTTTAGTTTCCTTTCATGGACCGAACTTCGCTTATTCTTAATTTCTTTCCATATAGTAGTACAAGGGCCTACCAGTGCTTCCGTGTTGTTAAGCAACTCACCCATATTGATCCATGTACTTTCACTGACCAACGTTATGTGCCATGGCAGTCAAATGAGAACATTAGAAATCCTAAGCATTGCTAACTTAATTGGATGGTGTACACAAACAAGAATATTTCAACTTAACATGATAGGTTATCACCCTCAGGTCGTGTGCTAATGATTACTAAAAGGTTTGTTCTTAAGTGACTCCTGAAACTCTTCAATATCATTAAGGCTCCCACTAATGTAACATCCCAAAATTCAAGAACAAAAATTTTGTTTTTAGTTTAACAATTCATAAAAACCAACAGTATAAAAACATTCATAATAACATCCCATGTCAAAACCAAAGTGTAAATAATCAAAACATATTAACATAAAACAATATTAGAGTGTAATCCCAAAAGATCTCATATGCGCAAAACATTGTGTGATGCACTGTGATCGCCGACTCCTTTCCTTTGAAAAGGAAGTAACTGAAACCAAAACAAAAAACCGTAAGCACAAAGCTTAGTGAGTTCCCCCATCATACAACATACCATACATATCAACATACAGCCTAGCATATCTGGGTGTTGGCCTACCCCTTCGGTCTCTTTTAACCGGATACAATCTAGCATATAAGAACATACTCGCATACTGTTGGGATTAAAACCCTAATTGAGATTTGATGAACAAGATGCGGAAAATAAGAACAAACACAAATAAGAAGATTAGTTTGAATGATCACTCGATTTATTGAATTGTGAGGAAAAAATTACACTTAAGAAATAAGAATCTAACTCTACAAGAAACCTCACGTGGCAGCTACATTTTGCCTCACTCTTAACCCTAATTGTGAATAATACATGACTATTTATAGGGAAAAGACAAGTCTTGGGCTTTTAACCTAGAATTCATCAAAGGGGCCCATTACCATCATCCATGGAGTGCTTTGAAACCCTACAATCTCCCCCTCAAAGTATGGAATGGATGACAATGCTTTAACTTCCAAAACAAGCATCTAGCAAATAAAAAGATCTGCAATGAGGAATATATGAAGCAATCCACGAATTTTGATTCTTCAATAGTCTTCAAACACGGGCTCTAGGATATATAAATCAGGCACTGAAGTAATGTCTTTAAACTTCATTTCCGAATGTAATCCCAAAGAATCTTCATGAAAACCAAACCCGCCATAAAAACCCATTTTAGAACAAAGAAACTGAATCACTTCTTGTCTTTGAAGAGCTCCCCCTCCAAGTCACAATGATCTTCAAATAATCTAATGATGTAAGTCATCAAAAAATATCATGTAACAACCCAAACTTTATGATTACTTCTCTATAAAAGCTTTAGCAGAGCTCGATGAAGAACTTCCACTGTAAAAGCTACCTTCATAATTCTACCATAAGCTTTATCAAAAATCTTCAACTTTGAAAAGTCACAAATCCAATTTCGAATGGCCAAATCAAGAACCGATACTTCAAAAATCAATAAATCTTCAAAGACCCGCTCTGATACCACTTGTTGGGATTAAAACCCTAATTGAGATTTGATGAACAAGATGCGGAAAATAAGAACAAACACAAATATGAAGATTAGGTTGAATGATCACTCGATTTATTGAATTGTGAGGAAAAAATTACACTTAAGAAATAAGAATCTAACTCTACAAGAAATATGTTTTGGCTGCATGGAATCAGGATTATTTTTCGATCTACTGTTCATGGAGATTTATGTTGTTCATTGTTCATCTACTATTAATCTGGATCTATTCGATCGATTTAGCCCAAATTTTTTTTTTCTGTGTTCATCCGATTACGTATTAGTCACAAGCCCATCATCGTTGTTTACTATTCATTTGTTTCACTTAAATAGCCCACATATTGCATTCACTGTTGTTCATTGCTCCTATATTGCCGATTGAAGTCACAGAATCTCGCAAACCAAAAGGTTTTTTTTTTATTATCTTCATGGCGATTGAACACTCTTATGTTCTGGTGTATCTTACAATTCTTGATTTCTATTTGATTTTGGTCTTGCTCTTGATTTTTGGTCTTCAAATCGATTGTGTTTGACCTAATTGATTTTCTTCTCGAGTTTTTATAACAATGTTAAGTATGATGAATCGATTATAACAATTTTGTTTTGAGAACCGGTGAAGAACAGAGGAACATGGTGTTGGATTTGATTGAAAATAGCTTGTTTGATCTGGACATCTATTTGAGAAAATCAACTTTGTGTTTATTAGGGTCCGTATGAATAGGTAGGATCTTTTGCAATCATATTATGAATCAAAATCAATGGTTATTGGAGAATATCGATAGCCTTGAGTTTGTATTTCGGAATCAAGTTCTATTTCAAGCCTGATTGCTAAGTGGAACGAAAGGCAGATTTGAAACTGGATTACATTCAGAATTGTATTGATGCCCTGTTCGCATTGCCAAGTAGGTATATTGATAGGGGCTTGATACAATCAGAACGAACGAATGAAAGTCAAAATTGGTTTGAAAATCTCACCTGCGAACGATTGAAATCGAATCTCACTGGGAACGAATGAAATTGGAATTGGAACTCAATTGGAAGAACACCAGTCAAGGCAAAAAGTCAAAATTGACTATTGGAGGTGAACCACGAACGAACCTGGAATGATTTAGTGTTCGCGTATTTGTGCTAGAAACGAAAAACAAACGAAATTGACTGTTATATGGGTGTTTCATGAATTGCAAACGAATCAATCTCAATTGGGACGAACATTGGTCAACAGAAAAGTCAAGATCGGTGTGAAATCCTTATCTGCAATCGGAAGTGAACCTATGATTGGGTTCGTTTGTCAGCCCTTGGAACGAAAGTAATTGGAACGAAAGAGGGGAGGAACGAAAGCGAACTTGTGGTTCGACTCGGCTAAGGGTTCGCTCCTTGTTCGCATCGTGATGTACCTGGAACAAACTTAAGTTCGGTTGGCTGCTCTTGGAACGAAAGCACTTGGAAGAAAGAAGGAAGGACCGAAAGCGAAAGGTGATTCGCCTGATGAAGCTTGGAACGGACCTGGAAGCGAATGTCTCAAATGGAAACGTATGGAACCGAATGCTCGGTTGGGTTCGCTTCGGGTGTATAATTGACGATCTTGGAACGAAGTTAGATTCAGTCGCTTGTGCTCGGAACGAAAGTAGATGAAACTAATTGGAGTCATATTTGTAGGTTCGTCTGTGACCATTCGTTTAAAATCACCATTCCAGTCGCATTGTTTTATCAGGTTTCAAATGATGAAGATAACTCAAACTTTCACACTTGGTCCCTGCAACTTTAAGAACTTGACAATCTGGCCCCTACACTTTTCATGCTTTGGCGGTTTTGGACCAATTCCAGATTTTCTTGCAAATAAAGGGGTTTATTGGTGCATGATTACAATTTCAGCCCCTGAGTTTCTGGAAAGTGATAATTTCAGCCCATTTTCGAGAAAGTTTACAATTTTAAGGGCTGGTGAACAGTTTTGGATTTTTCAACGCTCATATTTTTTGATGAACAGCAAAATAATGATTCCATCAAGTCTTGGCGGTTCGGAAAGTCGTTTTTCGTGATAACGTCAAATTTTCACGATTTTTTCGGATTTTATACTTCATTGTGTATATATTTTTGTCGCGGGGGAGCTTAGTAAATTTTTATCCATTCAAGATCATTCTCATGACCATTTGAAGGCTTTATAATCATGTTTTTGATTATAAATCGGGGGAGAATTTGGTATTTCCATTCGAAATTGGATTTGTGACTTTTCAAAGTTGAAGATTTTTGATAAAGCTTATGGTAGAATTATGAAGGTAGCTTTTACAGTGGTAGTTCTTCATCGAGCTCTGCTAAAGCTTTTACAGAGAAGTATCCTTTACAGCGGAAGTTCTTTATCGAGCTCTGCTAAGGACTTGTTATATCTCCGACTTCTTGTATTTTCTCGATCAAGTGGCGTTACGAATCATAAAGTTTGGGTTGTTACATGATATTTTTTGATGACTTACATCATTAGCTTATTTGAAGATCATTGTGACTTGGAGGGGGAGCTCTTCAAAGACAAGAAGTGATTCAGTTTCTTTGTTCTGAAATGGGTTTTTATGGCGGGTTTGGTTTTCATGAAGATTCTTTGGGATTACATTCGAAAATGAAGTTTAAAGACATTACTTCAGTGCCTGATTTATATATCCTAGAGCCTGTGTTTGAAGACTATTGAAGAATCAAGATTCGTGGATTGCTTCATATATTCCTCGTTGCAGATCTTTTTATTTGCTAGATGCTTGTTTTGGAAGTTAAAGCATTGTCATCCATTCCATACTTTGAGGGGGAGATTGTAGGGTTTCAAAGCACTCCATGGATGATGGCAATGGGCCCCTGTGACAAATTCTAGGTTAAAAGCCCAAGACTTGTCTTTTCCCTATAAATAGTCATGTATTATTCACAATTAGGGCTAAGAGTGAGGCAAAATGTAGCCGCCACGTGAGGTTTCTTGTAGAGTCAGATTCTTATTTCTTAAGTGTAATTTTTTCCTCACAATTCAATAAATCGAGTGATCATTCAACCTAATCTTCATATTTGTGTTTGTTCTTATTTTCCGCATCTTGTTCATCAAATCTCAATTAGGGTTTTAATCCCAACAGTTTTGATAAGGTTTTTATGGAGAGGGACTAATTATGTCGTTATGGGAAATGAGTATCGAGGCGTTAGGCATATAGCTCCTGAAACCTAACCTTAAAGGGATGAACAACCGTCACATCCACCTTATGCCTCCTTCACCAGCATCGCACCCCCCCCCCCAATGTTCCGATCAGCGAAGGCCACCAGCGACCTCGGTACTGCCACCATCCCTCTGTGTCTTCTTCTTATTATTATTATTATGCCGTCTTCCGTTGTCCACAGGAGCTTCACGATGGTCGTGCGACCTACTCCAACTAATTTTCGTTGTGAGCCATTGACTATCTTCGGGACCACCGCAGACCACCATGAAGGATGACTGGATTCAAGTTTTGCCATCGGAACGATATCGTCTCTTGCCGCCAGTGATGTCGTGAACAACAAGATCTTCGCGTGGGTTACCGGAAAACCGTGAGGCGTAGTTGCTGCTGTTGTACTTGGTGGGTTTCTTACCACCATCTCCCCTTCTGGTTTCCTTTTGTGATGTCATTTCTCATCGTGCACTATAGTGGTTTTTCAGCTCGTTTTCCATCCCCGACAAGCGGATGTGCTGTTGATGATGCTGCTGCTCGCCTCCTCGTGTCGTCACCACAGCCGTGCGCCACCAAGTGGATGGGTGGCTGGGTTTGTTTTACAACAAAAAATACATGTGTGTTTATTAAAGTGAGGTGGTTTTTGAGTGTTGGTTGGCCGGAATTCTCGAAGAACAGCCACCACCACCACCACCACCGTGTGGTGGTGGTTGCCACCAGGTAGTCACCACCGGTCACCACATGGTGGCTGTGTGTGTTCCTAACGTGTAGTGTGTGTTCATTTTTGGGAATAATGTTTTGTAATTTGTAATTAGAGATTTGAATAATGAAAAGAAACTCATAATCACTACCGTGAGGTGGTGGCTGCCGCTTCCTACTGCCACCAGCCTCTACGTTTGTTGGCAGTGTGCCTTGTTTGTGTTTGGATTCATTTGGGATGCTTGGATAAAATGGACTAGAACCATAACCATCACCGTGAGGTGGTGGCTATCGTTATGAGCCGCCATTAACCACCACTACCCGAGGTAGAAGTGGGTAGTGCCCGACTAATGAAACCCTAATGGGCCTAGTGAGACCTTAGTTGGCTTATTGAAACCCTAACTTATCTAAAGATTTAGTGTTAGGACTATTGTGCTATGATTGGGTTGGAAACCCTAATTAGGGTTTTGAAAACCCTAATTTTAGATATATGGGTTTGGATTATCAGGACCCGCATTTTTGGATTACCGGATTGACATTATGTATTAAGTCCGGCCACATTACATGATTAACCCAATAGATTGATGGACTTAATGGATTAAGTACTTAATGGGTTAAGTAAGAAACACTTAACGCTAATCGCCATTTTATGTGAAAACTATACTTTCACATAGGGCTTAAGTTGGGCTTCTTTATTGGGCTCTGGTGATTGGGCCAATAATGGGTCATTCAAGAACAATCATGTAGACTAATATAATTAGATGGGCTTTAGGGTAAGGCCCATGTGAGGGTTTGGGTCCAATTTGGAAAATTGGGCCATAGGTGGGCCATAAATGGGCCTTTTTGATTATGAGATATTGAGGCATTGGAAACGCTGAATGTTTGGACTGGACTAAATGATTGGGCCTCAGAATAAGACCATGTAAAGGTTTGGGCCCAATTTCGAAAATTAGGCCATATGTTGGGCTTTGACTCATAGTTGACTTATGGGCCTTCGGATTCGGCTTTGGTCTTGAATCAAGCTAAGTTAGGGGGTAAAGTAGTCTTTTACCCCAAGTATGGACTTATGGATATGTGTTGGGACCCAATTATTAATTAGGTGTTATTTTGATTTTGACAGATCCGGGAATCTGTCAGTCAATAGCCACAACTTTATATGTGGGACTTCAGCAGTGTAAGGTGAGTCTCCTCATTGTTTTTATGGGTCTAAGGTACCAACGCTGACCCATTTAGTTTATGGATGATAGAAGACCTGGGGGTTGTCCCGAGGCATTATACATGAAAGACCAAGGGGCGACTCCTATCACACAGTATGCTATTATGTATGGTAGGAAGCCCCGGGGGTTAGCCCTAGGTAATATGTATGAAAGACCATAAGGATGCTCCAGGCACACTATATGTTAATTAGCTAAGTAGATTAGTATGTATGATAGTTGTCTTTGTGATGCTTGTATGGAAGACTAGGAGGTGGCTCTTGGCACTTGTCTGTGAGATCGAGGAGGGTGGACCCCGACTTGGCAAGAAAGACCACATGGCGGCTCGTGGTATAATGGAAAGACTATGTTAGGCACATAACATCTTTACTGATTATGATATATGTACGGATCATGGTTATGCATGATAGTATGTGTAGGGTTTCAAAGCACTCCATGGATGATGGCAATGGGCCCCTGTGATGAATTCTAGGTTAAAAGCCCAAGACTTGTCTTTTCCCTATAAATAGTCATGTATTATTCACAATTAGGGCTAAGAGTGAGGCAAAATGTAGCCGCCACGTGAGGTTTCTTGTAGAGTTAGATTCTTATTTCTTAAGTGTAATTTTTTCCTCACAATTCAATAAATCGAGTGATCATTCAACCTAATCTTCATATTTGTGTTTGTTCTTATTTTCCGCATCTTGTTCATCAAATATCAATTAGGGTTTTAATCCCAACAAGTGGTATCAGAGCGGGTCTTTGAAGATCTATTGATTTTTGAAGTATCGGTTCTTGATTTGGTGATTTTCTGCACAAGTTATTGAAGATTATTGGTGTTTTGACGGTATGGAATTATAATTATGTTCAAGTTACTGTTCATGAAGATCCATGGTGTTCATCTACTGTTCATGTGGTATTTTTTTATTCGTTCTTGTGTTGGATCTGTTCATTTGCTTAATCCAAAAATCAATTGATTTTAGTCATATGTTTTGACCGAATTGGGTCTATTCGAGTCTTATTTTGATCTGCCCAGTCTTTTAGCTGATTCACAGTTCATGATCCATTCCTTTTTCCCTAATATCATATTTGGTTTTCCGTTTGCTTTACTTGCTTTTTCGTGCTCAGTTCATTCATTCATTCATTTTCTCAAGATCAATCATGATTAATAATCGTTGCTTGTACCATCGATTCTAATGAATCGATCTGTGTGTGGTTTTATTCAAGATCAAACCTTTCATCGATTTTCTAATTCATATTCTTAAGATCGATTTGATTAACTCATTTTGATCTTGGAAACTATGTGATGATATTTTGTGATTTATCTCGATTTTTGGAAGTAGCGATTGTATGATTGTCGAATGCAATTTTTGGAGTCGTGTGAAGGTATAGTTGACGAATAATTGATCACAGTTTGAAAATTCAAAATTGAATGTGAACAATGGACGAATGTTTCCCTGCGAACGGTCTCTCAATCAAAAGTTTTTGTGTCTCGGGACTTGAACTGGATTCGCGTCGATAGAGTGATGATCAAAACGAATGTTATCGAAATCATCTGGAATGTGTTGATGATTTGTTCGCAATTGCCAAGTCAAACCTGAAAGACAAAATTAAAATTGTGATGTTCTAATTTGTTGGCAACTTCATGGTTCGTTGTTCATATTGTTCATGTGTAATGGGTCTCAGAATTGATACTCAATTGGGAAGAACTACAGTCAAACGAAAGGTCTATGGTTGATTAGGAGCGAAAGGTATCGGAATCGGGACGAATGAAGTCTGAGTGGGTGTATTTTTGTTCGAAATTCCTAATCTACATAAAAGTCAAAATTGAGTTTTTGAGAATGTTTCACCTGTGAAAAATCGGTCATTGAAGTTCTGGGTTCGCACTCGTTCTTCACCCACGAACGTTCTCTAACTGTGGTAGTATGATTATTTTATTCAATTGGAACGAACATTGGTCAACAAAAGGTCGAAATCGCTATGAAAGCCTTACCTGTGAACGTTCATTTACGGTGCTTCTCTTTGGGGTATAATCGAAGAAATTGAAGCGAATCTATGATTGGGTTCGTCTGTTGACTTGGAACAAAAGACGGGAAAGTGAACCTGTGGTTCGTCTTGGCTATGTTTTCGCTCCTTGATCGCATCGTGATGCTTAGCTTCGCTTTTGTATTTATGGACTTGGAATATACCCGGAACGAACTTGAGTTCGGTTAGTAGCTCTTGGAACAAAAGCACTTGGAAGAAAGAGGGATGAACCGAAAGCGAACCTGTGATTCGGTTTGGATAAGGTTTCGCTTGTCATGATGTTTGATTTCGGACCGAACATGGTTTTTGTGTCAATAATCTTGGACCGAACTTGGTTTCGGTTGCTTGTGCTTGGACCGATTGAACAAATCATTGTGGTATGGTTTCTTCTTTTATCAGTCGCATATATTGGGGAAGAAGACTTAATGTTTCATTTTTGGTCCCTGCAACTTCAGTGCATTGGCACTTTTGGTCCCTGTTGTTTTCACAGATTGGTATTTTTGGATCATTTCCAGTTTTTGCTTCAAATAAAGGGGTGTATTGATGCTGAATTACCATTCCAGCCCCCGTCTTTCAGCAAGTGACAGTTTCGGCCTAATATTCAGAAAACTTTACTACATTGAGGGCCGGTGAACAGTTTTGGATTTTTTAACGCACATATTTTTTTCGTGAACAGAAAAATATGGATTCCATCAAGTCTTGGCGGTTCGGAAAGTCGTTTTTCGTGATAACGTCAAATTTTCACGAATTTTTCCGGATTTTATACTTCATTGTGTATATCATTTTGTCGCGGGGGAGCTTAGTAAATTTTTATCCATTCAAGATCATTCTCATGACCATAAGAAGGCTTTATAATCACATTTTCGATTATAAATCGGGGGAGAATTTGGTATGGCCATTCGAAATTGGATTTGTGACTTTTCAAAGTTGAAGATTGTTGATAAAGTTTGTGGTAGAATTACGAAGGTAGCTTTTACAGCGGAAGTTCTTCATCGAGCTCTGCTAAAGCTTTTACAGAGAAGTATCCTTTACAGCGGAAGTTCTTTATCGAGCTCTGTTAAGGACTTGTTATATCTCCGACTTCTTGTATTTTCTCGATCAAGTGGCGTTACGAATCGTAAAGTTTGGGTTGTTACATGATATTTTTTGATGGCTTATATCATTAGCTTATTTGAAGATCATTGTGACTTGGAGGGGGAGCTCTTCAAAGACAAGAAGTGATTCGGTTTCTTTGTTCTGAAATGGGTTTTTATGGCGGGTTTGGTTTTCATGAAGATTCTTTGGTATTACATTCAAAAATGAAGTTTAAATACATTACTTCAGTGCCTGATTTATATATCCTAGAGCCCGTGTTTGAAGACTATTGAAGAATCAAGATTCGTGGATTGCTTCATATATTCCTCGTTGCAGATCTTTTTATTTGCTAGATGCTTGTTTTGGAAGTTAAAGCATTGTCATCCATTCCATACTTTGAGGGGGAGATTGTAGGGTTTCAAAGATCTCCATGGAT